TGGGAGTGACAATAGGGCTCATTTACATCTCATTTAGATAAGCCATACCCCCTGTAAAGCTCCCCCTGTGCTTTACAGCTTTTTCTTTCTTTCCTGAGCTAGCTAATAGCAATAGGTAGGTATGGGAAGGTCTAAACAGACTAAACATGAGATAACATGTACCTGTTCTTAGAATTAAAACAAAACGACAAACTTTAATGTTTAATGCAAACTCACCCCCAGGACCGGCGAATGCACTTCTGCCGCTCTAGGCGAAAAACAATTGTGCTGCCCCTCTATTTGCAACGTTTACCAGCAACAACACACAAAGACCATTATGCCATATACATATAACGCAAAACCAGCAACAACACACAAAGACCAATAAGCCATAGGCCTACATATAACGCAAATAGTGCGCAACGTGCGTGTGCCCAAAATGTCAAGAATATTAAAGTTTATGCAGGAGGTAAATGCCTGCTGGCATTTTTCTTTAAGCAGTCATGACAGGAATTTTCCAAATAATCATATTTCCTCCTCAGATTACTGTTGCAAATCTCTTTACACCACTTTCTTATGTGCGTTTATACACACACAAATGAAATGTCCGCAAGCACATTATATCATCAGCAGGTTCAGCATCTTACATAACGACTAAGGAGCAAATAAAGCTTAACTTACGTTTCAGAAACGCGCACGGCAGGCCTTCATCGCAGCAAAGGTCTTAACTGCATCCTCTATTTCGATTCTCTGTGCCAGTTCATGTTCTATGGAGATTGTTGCCAGTCCATTAAGTCTGTTCCCTGTTCACAAAACGTTCCCCATTCAAAGCAATCGGGACGTCACATACGAAACAGTTAGCCACCGCTGTCAGCGAGCCGAGCCGCCGTATTCAAGCACCGAGGGCGCGCGCGCCGCGCCCATACCTCCGGTTCAGTTTCCCGAGCCCACAAAGTGCGGCGAAAACATTTTCGGTGTAACTGCCACGGTTCAGCTCGTCTGCGACAATCTTTGCGGCATCGATCTTCATTGAATTTTGATATCAGACAGAGCCGGCCAGAGTGCTGCATAATAAGTAGCCACGCTGTTGGGGGGCGGGGGCAAAAGCGCCGGCGGCTATTCAGTATGGAAATACACACAGACAATGACACGCCCCTACTGCATGCTAGAATCTCCGAAAAACAAGCCGATTTCAACCTCAAAATGTACGCTTTTAAATATACCAATACTGTTATCTCAAACATGGAGAGGCTTCTTCATGATCTCAACTAACAGATTCTGCAAAAAAGCGGAAATCACCAATTTTGGAAAAAAACGCTTCTTTCTCATTTTGCTCGCAAGTTGTGCTGCCGACTTGTGTCCCTGGTTTCCGTGACGGGTCACATATATATAGCTCATGCCTGGGTGAATAGTATTAAGTTTAGAGACATGCTCCAGAAAAACAGTTCACAGAGACGGAGAGCCAGAAAGCACACCCTGTTTATTTTCTTTATTTTACAAAAGCACAATGTTTTGTTTCGATTGTAAGTGGACACATAAAAAAGAAGACATTCAACAGTTTATTTTTTCATATTTTTTTAAGTCTGTATGACCAAAATTGGCAGAGTTCCTAAGCCGAATTCATAAGTCTATTTTGCGAAAAAAATGTGAAAAAAATCGAGCACAGCGCGTTTGCCGACCCCAGAGGGTTAAAGTCGGTGTATAACCAAGCTAAAATGCATAATATCAGGAGTGGAGTGGATCCTATGAACTTCCCCTTTTCTGAGCAAATGGACGAAGTCATGGGTGATGGGCGACCACTATCCAACGTCAGAGAAAACAGAGTGGATGTGGGCTTTCAAGAAGCTATCTGCGCATGTCACAAAGTGGCATGTAAACAGGGCTACTGTTTACTCAACCGGGAAGTACCTGATTGCAACTTCACCTTCATTGACCTATTGAACCATCAAGACTTTCATCCGAGACTTCATCTGGATGCTCGTTCAACGGCTAAGGCAATGCAAGTATCATACATTTAACTAAACCAAACAGAGGATTAGTATAAGCTGTAGATCCCATGCTGATTGTTGTTCAGGTGGTTAAGTGACTCTTATATATCCATTGTTTCATTTCACAAATTCACTTTCACTTTCCATTTTATCCATGTGTCCATGATTGTGTGTATGTGTTAAGACTAGTTATGTGAGATTTATGTGAGTATTGATTATTTGGTCACTGCTTGCAAAACAGAGCCTGTAGCAAGAGTAGTACTGTATGCAGTAAGAAATGGTTATTCTCTGTGGTGTAGGATCTGAGAGCAAATCAGACCGCAATGACTCCTTCAGACTGTGAATGAAGAGCCGAATCAACACTCAGGACCCCAAATCAGAGGATCTGCCATTTGGAATGCTATTCAGTCTGGAAAACCACAGCTAAATAATGTATGGCCATGCAAGCTTGTAAGAGATGATCATAGCTAAAGGAAGAGCTTGTCAACTATAAAAGGTTAACCCAAGACTAAAGGTCCAAAGGGCGAGAGATCTAGACTAGCACAAGGAAAACCATGGGTCAATGCCAGAGATTTTTTGATCCCCACGAAAGAGATCCAAATCAGAGATCCAAAGACCTCTGAGTGATCTCTCACTGAAATCTCTTAAAGACCACAGAGACTGAGACCATTGAATGGTTGAAAGAAAGGGTTTATTGTTTCCTATCAGTATGATCATCTGCTCGTAAGACAAAATATGACTTGAAAGAAATCTGTGTAAAATGTATCAAATTCTTATTATAGAAATCATGTCCGAATTGTACTCTACTAGAGCGGGAAAGTTAAGACGTGCCTAGTAAGATAACATGTTATTTATGGGGGAGAAGGAGGAATAGTCACACCCTGAGCTAAAGACAAAGTCTATTTGGTTAGAAATCCTCCCGGAGGCTGGACAAGCGTTTTGAGTTTAAAATCTCAGAACACTAACAAAGCATCAGGAGACACACCGCAGAAAATGGCTTAACAGTTTCATTCAAGCCATCTAACTACTCTCGTCTTATTTACTTTTCTTCCTCTTACTTAGTTTCCTTTCTTTACGTTGAGTCTCCTATTATTATATTCAATGACTCTACAACCTTCGCCTACTTCAAACTTCAGCCACGAGATAGACTCCATGTAACGAATGGTCCAATGCAGGCAAGTGAGGTGAGAACCCAAATGCAATTTATTTACAAAAAAGAACACAATCAAACATATAACAAAAACATGGCAAGCGCAAACTCTGGACATGGAACAATCAATACTCGACAAAGCCATGGGAAACAAGAGGGCTTAAATACACACAATACTAATGACAAGACAAGGGACACCTGTGAACAATTAACAATAAACCAATTACAACATGACACAACGGATCACATGACTAAAACCAGGGGATCACATGACAGACAAAAGACAGGAACAACATACAAACACGTGACACTCCATTAATTGGCTTCCCAAGGCGTCATTCAAGGAAACAATGAGACTGCCAATGAAGCAAAGAACCTGGGAAATCCCCTCTCCAGTATGGACCACTAAGGGAATTCCCATTCAAAGAAGACACAAACGCAAGGGATGCCTCTTAGCTGGTGCATTGATATAAAATGTAATAACCCCGCCTAAGAAATGGTAGAAGGGTTAAATTAATGATTGATGGTTCGTTCAAGTCAGGTTTTCAAGTGCATATATCATTTCACTCTCTTAAACTCATTCTTTTCTCACTTTCTTTCTTTCTGCAACTCATGTGAATGTGTGTGTGTGTGTGTGTGTATGTGTATGTGCGTTTGTGTTAGGTATTAGTTGTGTGTGTTAGAATAATCAATAAAGTCTCACTTGTATTTAAAGAGAAGTGTCTTGTGTTATGTGCTTACAAATTCAGTGTCTTAAATTGCCGATTTATGTTTCCATGCTAATATATAGTGTTTTCACTATTGATTAGATATTCATCCTCTTCAGAGCTGATAACCACGGTACGTTCAAGTGAATGCTGGACGATAAAATAAGTGATTCTTTCAAAATTCCCAATAAATAAATTAATAATTCTCTTTGAGCTAATTTGACACGTTTCCCTTCCAGCAGCCACAAGAATGACATTCCTAGGAGATGATAGACAATTAATACTGAGTGTTTGCTAGACAAATAGTTTAATTGATTGTGATTTTAATTTTACTACAAGTTAATTACAATCCAAATATGTATAATCATTTATAACAAGTTATAATTAATTATTCATATTTCCAATGGACTAATTTTGTCATGATGTGAGGCAATCTAAAAGTTGAGTATCATCTGCATAACATAGTGAAATCTAATGATTATGTCCCTCAGGGAAAGCATATACAAGGAAAAAAGCAGAGGACCTAATACTGAGCCCTGTGGCACACCATACTTGGATTTGATGAGATGTCTCTTCATTTACACTAACACAGTGGTAGCAGATGGATTGATTGGACCTAAACTTGTACCATTGCTTGTCCATTGCCTTTGGCTTGCTCAGTTGGGGATATTCAAATTAAATGACCCATCATACCACTGATCAGCTCTACCAAACTTGGATGTCTTTTTCCAATAATAAACAAACACTGTTAAGTTGGTTTGATTGATACTGTGAAGCAGCTTTGATACAATCTGTATTGTGAAAAGCGCTATATAAATATATTTGACTTGACTTGACTTGACTTGTCCACAAATGTCAACATAAATCTCAAGCTATCCAGGAGATTGTCATGCTATGTTGTTGAAAGACTTAATTGCACTAGGAAAGAGATTTAGCTGTGATCATAATACAATAGGGCTTAAATCCTGACTAAAATCACTGAAAATTTGTGAAGAGTTACAAGCATTGAAAATAGTTTCTGAGGTTACAGGTCACATTTCTTTCAGTAGCTTAGTGGGTATATGATCTAGCATAAATGTTGTTGGCTTTGATGCTTTAAATGCCTCAATGTTTTGATTTCTGTTGGTTTTTGCCAATACACTGGGGTTAATTTGTATATGCCTCTTCTTGTCTTAGACCTGATGCCACTGAAAGAGGAGAGTGAAAGCCTGAATGAAAATGAAGAGAAAGAGCAGCATGAGAAACATCCTAATTTCATAACTGGAGAAAAGTATTTTAGTTGCTCACAGACTGAAAAGACTTCCTCACGAAATATAGCTCAAAAGACAGGAACTAGAAATTCTTTAACTTGCTTTATATGTGTAAAGAGTTTCAGTCGTCGTGGAAACCTTAAAGTCCACATGAAAATTCACAATGGAGAGAAGCCTTTCACCTGCCAACAGTGTGGACAGAGTTTCACTCAGAATGAACACCTTAAAGTCCACATGAAAATTCACACTGGAGAGAAGCCTTACACCTGCCAACAGTGTGGAAAGAGTTTCTCTCAAAAAGGAAGCCTTAAAGTTCACATGAGAATTCACATTGGAGAGAAGCCTTTTGCCTGCCAACAGTGTGGAAAAAGTTTCACTGAAAAAGGAAGCCTTAAAGCCCACGTGAGAATTCATACTGGAGAAAAGCCTTACAGCTGCCAACAGTGTGGAAAGAATTTCACTGAAACAGGACACCTTGAAATCCACATGAGAATTCACACTGGAGAGAAGCCTTTCGCCTGCCAACAGTGTGGAAAGAGTTTCTCTCAAAAAGGAAACCTTAAAGTTCACATGAGAATTCACATTGGAGAGAAGCCTTTTGCCTGCCAACAGTGTGGAAAAAGTTTCACTGAAAAAGGAAGCCTTAAAAGGCACATGAAAATTCACAATGGAAAAAAGCTGTTGACCTGCAGTGATGAATAAGTTTCACCCATTTATTTTATTTACATTTATTAATTTAGCTGACGCTTTTATCCAAAGCGACTTACAATTGCTATATATGTCAGAGGTCGCACGCCTCTGGAGCAACTAGGGATTAAGTGTCTTGCTCAGGGACACATTGGTGTCTCACAGTGGATTCGAACCCGGGTCTCTCACACCAAAGGCATGTGTCTTATCCACTGTGCCATCACCACCCCAAAAAGGAAAATATGTATAATCACCACCCGAAAAGGAAACCTTGAAGTCCACATGAGAATTCACACTGGAAAGTGTGTCCTTACACCTGCAGACTGTGTGGGAAGAACATTTCTTGAAAAGAAAGTCTTCAGACATGAGTTCACACTGTTTCACGTCAGTTACACAATTGCAACATAAGGATTTACTCGAGAGAGCTGTTTTAGATGTCGTAAGTGAGGGAGAAGTTCACAGAATAGAAACACCTTAAGAGGCACATAACTCACATTGGAGAGCAGCATGTTTCATGTTATCAAGCTTTTTAAACTTAAAGCAAACCTCAAGACTCACACTGGATAGAAGCCATTCACATGCAATCACTGTGAAAACTCGCAATCACATGCAATCACTCACTCACCCTCATGTTATTTCAAACTTGTAAGACTTTTTTGTTCATCTTCTAAACACAAACAAATATATTTTTTAATGAAATCTGAGAGATTTGTGTTCCTCCATTGACAGTCCACGGAACTTAAAGGTGCTGTAAGACATTGGCGAAAATGCTAACTTTAGCCTGAAAGCAGTTAAAGCGTACGTCCCACCCTCCCTGCAAATCATCGTCAAAAGCCACATCTCTTGGAAGCATGAACGCGCACAGCCCAGAAGACCAGAGACAACATTACTGCAATACATAATGTGTCATTTAACGGTGAGAAAACTTTATAGTACATTAAGTAACAGTACTACAATACCAAACGTAAATACATGCTTAAAAACAGAATTAGATCCAGCAAGTTTTTGTTTTGTTTAGCTAGTAAAACTTGTCAGTGTGTAATAATATTTCTCTGCTTGGCTCCGATGAAGATATATAGATCGTAAATCCTTTGCCAGTGCCACTTGGTGTCGGTTCAGAAGGAAAGGTTGTTGCTGCTTGCCTGCCATTCTCGTTCTGTCTGCACAGCTTATGTGAACGCGCTGATGACTTATGTCTGTGTGAACAGCCTACACAGTGATATGCAAACACACATTGACTGACAGAGAACACATGCTATAGGACCGTTCGGAACGAACGCAACGAATTAACATGTTATGGTCCTACGCTTCCACAGACAACATATATTTATAAAAATACTTTTAGACTGCTTAACAGAGTGATTGCTATCAGGATATGAGGAGACTTTCAACCAGCATAAAAAAAAAAAATTCTGCAGAGAATCACCTATGGCACCTTTAAAAAGAGGAGCTCATAAAAATTGCTACAAAAAACAATTCGCTGAACCAGTTCTTGCCCGAATCTCAAATCTATGCTGCGTAACACGAGAATGAACCTCATTGGTTTTTGCACGTCAAGCGAACAAGCTTAAAGGACAAGTTCGGTATTTTACACTTAAAGCCCTGTTTCAAGATCGTTTCTGATGAAATAGAACGGTTAAGATTAAAATTTGGACACATGATGCTGTCCCGAGAAATTTCGGTTTCTGTGGTTGCACCCCCACCCCCACAATGGTTGCAAACAATCCTTCCTAAAACGCATTAAACTTTAGTTTACAAAGACGTGAAGCTGACCGAGTGGTCAGTGGTGTTCACTGATATGCTCACTCAAAAAATCGCTGCAAAAGATGCTTTCCAAACTACGATAAAACCCGTTGGAAAGCATCTTTTGCAGCGATTTTTGTGTGAGCATATCAGTGAACACCCCTGACCACTCGGTGAGCTTCACGTCTTTGTAAACTAAAGTTTAATGCGTTTTAGGAAGGATTGTTTCTGTGCACCTATGCAGCCATTGTGGAAGTGATGGGGTGCAACCACAGAAACCGACATTTCTCGGGACAGCAGCATGTGTCCAAATTTTAATCTTAACCGTTCTATTTCATCAGAAACGATCTTGAAACAGGGCTTTAAGTGTAAAATACCGAACTTGTCCTTTAAGCTTCCGTTTACCACAACTGATGTGAACTGATGAATGTTTATGTGTGAATAAAAGCCTGAGTTCAATCTGTTCATTCTATAAAGCAATCGAGTCTCTTCTGAAAATGTTTCCTAAACTTTTCAAGTCATATGGATTAAATTAGTTTTATGATCTCTATGAAATTGAGGCGTCAAAGTAGTAGTTGCTTGGACTGCCGGGGACAGAAATCTCTGATTTCTTTAAAACTATCTTTATTTGCGTTTCATAGATGATCAAAAGTCTTATGGGTTCGGAACAACATGAGAGTGAGTAAATGATGACAGAATTTGGTAACACTTTAGTTTACATTTTCCTTGTTACATTTGTTATTGTTATTTGTTATTACTCAGTACTTAAAGATATATAATTACACTGTAACAATGACACCTCAAAATAAAGTGTAACACAGAATTTTCATTTTGGGGTGAACTAACCCTTTAATGGCGCTTTTCCACTCCATGGTACGGTTCACTTAAATAGTACCACCTCGGGTTGAGGTTCCTAGCGAGCCTTACCGATACTAAAATGTGACGTGTAAACACTGCAGATCACTGATTGGTCAGAGAGAATCATCACTACCAGCGTTGTTGGATTCTCAAAACGAGACACCAAACCCGCTAGAAACAAACTTTTTGTTTCAAATATTGAGCAGTTACAGTTGCCTTGCTCTAATTTCGATTGTATAGTGTAGTGTTGTTTCATATATTGGTTAATTTTAAAACCTCAGATTCACACCACTGGCTATTGTTGCCCTCTATGAAGGATCTATAGATGTCATTTTACTGTTGAAATGAACCTGAACCTGAGCAAACATACATTTGTGTTGTCTCATTTTATCATTCATATTTTAATTATTTTCCTCATTATGTTCTTTGCTCTTTGCTGTTGCTGTTTAATCATATGGTTGTACGGTCTTCACAAGGTAGAGATGAGAAGAGTGTCTCCATTTCAATGTTGCCACTGTCATGGGATATTACGAATCAGTTTGGTTCAAGAAACTTTTTTTTCATCATCACTGCATCTCCTGTTTTCTACTTTTCCCTTGCCTTCCCAAAGCGCAAGCACTGAGCCAAATATGTTTCGCCAATATGATATTATTACAGTATCAACTGAGGGTGCCTTGGTCAGTTCTGACATTCGTGTGGATTTCGGTTGTGGACGGGTTATCATGGGAACTCTGATTGGTCTGTGGCTGTGCAGTCCCTTATGTGTCAGGGTGTGATGCACTGTTTGTTGTGATATTCCTCCCATAACCAAAGTTAAAGGAGAAGTTAAATATCAAGGCACACGGGTCCAAAAATTCGTGCCTGAACCCGAAAGAGACCCGTAATGTGCTACACCGGACCGACCCGGACCCGTCTATTATTTCAAAAGCTGGACCCGGACCCATGAAGATCCGAGAAATGCCATAAATGTACTGCCCGGACCCGACCTGGACCCGTCTATTATTTGAAAGCTGGACCCGAACCCGGCGGGAAGACACAGACCCGACTGGACCCGATTGTCACATATTATTCACTGGCAAACTTACATAGTGTGGTTATAGCTGATATAGGACCGCAAAGCGAATTCAGATGTGCCATTCACCCTGTTACGACTTGATGAACCACTGAAACAATTTTGGAAACATTATTTTAAGATAAAAAAAGTTATTTAGTGTTGCTTTAAAGGGGTCATATAATGGTACATGCACTTTTACAAGTTGATTGTACTGAAATGTGTGTTGGCAGTGCCTGTACACAACCATCATATAATGATAAAAATCTATCCAGTGTTTTTGTTTTAATCTCCTTATATGTTTTCCCCTGCCTCAAATTGAGCCGTTCGTTTTTGTGACGTCAATAAAACGGACGCCCCTCCCACGATTGTTGATTGACAGCAGTGTTTACACACAATCCTGCCCTGAGCGAGCTGTCATCATTGTTGATACGCTGGAGCAGAATGGCGTCTAAGCGACTGTGGTGTTCTGTTCTTGGGTGTAATAACGAACACAGTCATTTTGATGTTCCTAAATCCGAACCGCTGAAGACACAGTGGCTGAGTTTTGTTTTCGAAGGGAATATTCCCCAGGATCAACGTCAATGCGTTCATGTTTGCGTGAATCATTTCTCTGCAGACTGCTTTATAAACGAGGGTCAGTATAAAGCTGGTTTTGCTAAGAAGCTGCTCCTGAAAAAAGAATCGGTACAAACTATCCGTATTTCTGCTGCACCTCCAGAAGAAGTGAGTGTAAGTGCAAATCGCGAAAAAAAAAAATTTCATGACCATTAGCTGTAACGTCAATCTGTTAATGAACTAACGTATACATCAGTAAACACACAGCGTTCGTATCTCACTACTCTACCCTGCCAGTACATACAAAAATAGATCAAAGTGACATTACGTTAACCAACCATTCAGAAACGTCCTGTTCGAGCCTTAATAGTCTAACTTCTTTGCGGCCCGTCATCTTGTTCCGGGTCCGACTCCGGTACAAACTGATACGGTTGCACAGATGTGTCCTCAGAGACTCCCGCTGCCATTCTCTCAACTGTTGTCAAGGCAACACTCCACGAGCGTTGTATCAAAACGCCCACAGAACAGAGAGGCGGGGTGAGCGAAGCTCATTATCATTTAAAGGCATATGCACTGAAACGGCGTGCTGAAAACAGAGCTGTTTTTGACCAGGTAAAATGAGTGTTTTCTTAAAATACTAATGAGAATTTTTAATAAAAGTATATTACAACGTTTTTATTTAGACCCTAAACATTCATATTAACTTGTACAAAAATGGCATTATACAGGGGGCGCTATTGACGATCTTAAATGCATTTAAATGTGGGAGTGAATCCCGTAAATTATAATCCTGTGTGAGTAATCATGAAATTGCGATGATTGACATAGTAGCCATAGCAACATGAGAACGTGATAACCATAGCAACATTTTGGCGTCTAATAATGTTATGATTTTTGTTACATTTACACTTTAGTTTACACAGATGTTTAAGTATAGCCTAGTCCACAAGACAAATTACGCTTGATTTTTAATATTGTGTCTCATTACCTGGATGATCCACAACTGTTTTTTTGTTGTTGTAATGGTTGTTCATGAGTCCCTTGTTTGTCCCGAACAGTTAAAATGCCCGATGGTCTTCAGAAAAATCCTCCAGCTCCTGCACATTCTTTGATTTTCCAGCACCTTCTGTATATTTGACTCCTTACTAGCAGTGATTTTATGATTTTGAGATCCATCTTTTCACCCTGGTGACAACTGAGGGACTCATACACAACTATTACAAACGCTGCAAACATTCAGTGATGCTCAAGGAGGAAACATCCATTAAGAGCTAGGGGGTGTAAATCAATCTTATTTTGTTTTAAATTCATTCATTCATTTACTACAAAATGAAAGTTGCCACTTCAGAGGCAAAATAAGATATTAGCATGTAAAAGAAAATAAGAAAAATGTACACATCACCATAATCTTGCTCAAAAGTTTACATTGTGTTGCTTTCTTGAGCATTACCTTGCAGATTCTGAAAGATTTACAATAGATAAATGTATGACTGGAACTATATACATTGCATTCCTTTGTAAAGGTTAAAATATTCATTTAAGAGCTCAGTGTTGAGACCTTTCGCCAGAGTTTTATTGACAGGCGATCTGACCAATCATAATGGTTTGTCAACCAAACCAGTCAGTGGATTTGAACAGAAAAATTGTGTTTATTGACGTCTTTTTTTTTGCTGTTCTGATGTTCATTCATGTTTAATTCGTGCTATAACCAAGAAGACATTATCGGTTCACATGCTGCTTGAACTGAGGCGTTACACATTAAAGCTCCATCTCTGTGGACTCGGATATTAAGAAATCAGACTCAAGTCCGACTCGGCCCCTCAGCTTGATTAGTAAGGACTTGAACTCGACAAAGGTGGACTCGGACCAAAAATTAGTATATACAGACAGTGGATTGTAAGCTATAGCAATATTGCATTGCTAAAGATACAAATTAATTAGCTATGTATCAAGTTATAACCAAATACAAGCATTGATTATAGAGGGATTTTTTAATCGTAAAATATTTTTAATTATCTTCTAAAATCTCTTATCATTTATGGTCCCTTTTTATTTTTATTACTTTGTATATTTGGTCAATTCTTGCATGTGTTTAGTCATTTATCTCTTTCCTACTTTCTGTGTTGCTTATTTGATGATGGGTAAGTGGACACATGATAACCTCATGTTTAAGAATAAAAAAGGCACAAAAGTGAAATAATCAAATTTTATTGGCAAAAGTTTCAGAAAATGAGATCAGTTACAATTATAAATCCATTCACCAGCATCATGCAGATTAGTAACAAAACGTTGTACAAGCGTAAAATTTAGATTATTAAAAACTAATTTCACTTATTATAAAGAATTATATGATTTAAAGTAAAATACAAGTAACTACAATAAAACATCTCTTTTTTTTGCCATATTGTAACTTTTTCAATAGAACACAATGTTTCTAGACATTTTTACTGATTTTGAGTTTTAAATGCTCTTATTCTATCACTAATAAATGCTTAAAAATGACCAAAACGATAACCAATGTATCAAGCCATCTTTACTTGCTAAAATAAAAAGAATGTGCTCATTTGCTATTTTCTAAAGCCATCATCTTCATCACCATAATCATCTTCAAAATGTTTTACATGTGTAAAATTTAATTTATTAAAAACTCCCTTAATTTCAATAATTATGAAGAATTACATGATTAAAAGTAAAATGATTTCACAGTGTGTTATTTCTCGTCTACTGAAGAGAAAAACTGCTTTTGGATAACCCTCTACATGTTTAAACCTTAAACACACACATTAGAACATTAGTATCATGAAAACTAAAGTAACTACAATAAAAAACTTTTTTTCAATAGAACACAGAATGTTTTTAGACATTTTTACTGATTTTGAGATTTAAATGCTCTTATTCTATCACTCCTTCCTAGAAATAAATTATTACAATTACCAAAATGATAACAAATAGAACTGCTTCTTTTCAAATAGAAAATGCTTTTTTTTTTGCTTCCATAAATGCGATTTTAGGGGTAGAGATCAATCATTTTCTACTTTCTATAGCCATCATCTTCATCACCAGCATCATCTTCATTTTCCCTGTAATCCCTGCAGAAGTTGTCTGTACTCCTCAGTGTTGGTGTCTTCGTGTCGATCCTGATTCACCCACTCATCGAGACGCTCGCGCTGCGTCTGATCCAGGATTCCCACGCGGCTGTACTCCGACACCAGGTTTCGGTATCCTGCTTTATAGTAGCCTCGGATGCCTTCATCCGACAAAACACAGCTCTGAGACTGAACGCTGTCACCTGGAGTTACACACAAGAATATTATCAAGTGCAGCAACACAACAGCTCTGTTAATCTATCAGTCGTGTTATGCTTTACATTTATCTTCAGTCCAAAGCACATTTCATGACAGCAACAACGCTGACCAAAGTGCTGTACAATATAAAATAAAATAGTAGTTGAACTATCCCTTTAAGACAGAATTTTAAACAAGACACATTCAAAGCAATAACATTTTACATGTATGTATAAGAGATTAATAACAATTTTACAACGGTCTATGGTCAGATCTCATTATATAGACAAAACATTTTAGCTGGCTGTTTTCATTTGTCATTATTTACAGTAAAAGATGTATGTACAATAGCAGCAAACAAACTTTTGGTAAACAGGACAAAACAAACATATGCTGAAATAGTTTCATATTCACAAAGAAGAATCAAAACAACACCTCATTGCCCTTACGAAAAGCATCAATTTTTACTTAATTACACTAAATATCTTGTGTTGTATTTATTGTCTTGTCCGTTTTTTACTGCCAGTTTGTCTTCCTCTAATCTGTGTGCTTCATGTTGTTGAGTGTGTTCACGGCTGTCTGTGACTTCTATAATGTCACACCAAGGCTTTAGAGACTTTTATATCGTTCTACTGTATCGTTGTATATGGCTCAAATGACAATAAAACTCTTTAATCTTTCTTATCTAATTGGTCAAAGATTATATTTCCACCATAAAAGCTGTTGCATTATCGTGTCTATCGTAAACACCCTGGAAAATCACAGTATCTGGAGGGTAGTTTATACACGTGTTTAGCAGGATTATCACCTCAAGAGTTTCTTACCTAGAGCCTCTCTGAGCTTTTGAGAGGTAAACGGGTGATGAAGAGTCATGCAGTGTTTCAGCAGAAGCTCCACGTCTCCACTAATCATTGTGTCTGCTAGAAGTTTCCTGTAAAAAAACAAATGTTAAAAGCAGATTTAAAGGAGCTGTATGTAAGAAATGTATTTCAATTAATCATAAAATGGCCCTGATATGTCACTAGACATTAACCTGTTAAGCTTCAAGCCCACTTTTGAAAAATCCCCAGAAATCACATACCCAAACTGAAACAGATACAGTTCATGAACCCTTTGCACTAAAAGCACAAGTATGATCTCATTTGAAAGCTGACACCTGGTTGTTTATTGTAAATGTAGAATGAATTATTGTCATAATGAAAAAAACAATTTTAAATAGCTTCAAAGTTTTGTAAAGTTATTAGAAATTTATTTTTATGAAACATCTTTATGAAAATAAAATGGAAGTTGGCCCTGGAGCAATCTAGAAATGCACTGCAGCTAAAGCCACATGTCTGACCATTTTATATTTAAAATCTGAAAATGATAAGTATAAAACTCTGTATTTAGTTAAATGTTTTTCAAGATCATGTCAAATTACTTTATTTTGATTAGACTCTATTAGCAAACTGATGTTTAGTCATCCTCTGAGTCATCTATTCAGTCTATTGTCTCTATTGTTTTGTGGTGCCCCATTCAGTGTCAGTCTCCCCTGTACACATTCACACCTCTCCAGACTGGTTATTATGGATCTAAATATGCATTTCTTTTGTCTGCATTATAGCTACTAACGACTGGCTATTCACAGGCTATTCATAGGGTTTCAAACCCTAATTTCTTTTATCAAAATTCTCACTAAATATTTGAAACTGGTATCAAATGCACTGAAACATTTCAGTAAGCATTCCTATTTAGAAAAAAATCATAAAACAATAACTGCTCGTGGCAGGTGCGCCTGGGCTCGCTAGCATGTTAGCTTAGCACACCATCAATACACGACCATTTATGAGATTAAAATTATGTTTGTGCTCCAAACTTACTATATAACGCAAGTCTAGTGTTTTAAATAATCTTCTGTGATCTAACTTGGCTTCATATTAAAAAAAAATCCGACAGAAAATGTATTATTTAGTGTTCTGAACGATGATGAAATCTATATCGATTAGCATTACATTATAAATATAATCTATTATTATGAAATACCTGGCATGGCTTGAAGAACACAGGTAACTCAAATATCATTGCAATCATGTTTATTGTTTTCAAAACATCTTTATCTGCATGTTACAGCGATCTCTGTCAGCTACTTTCTGTATCACTCAGTGACGTCCTGGAATGTCACATGACTATGGGTCTTCTTCATGATCCATATATGGACTTTTATTGGACATAATAGCGCCCCCATGCCATTGGTATGAATGGAAAACACAGCACATCTCAGTAAGAAGCGATCATAACTTACATCGACGCATTTGGGTATAAATTCAATAAATATTATTCCTGTCTATAGAAATATGATGTGAATCTATGAGAATATATCAATATTTCTCCACATCTGCACATTGTTGAGCTAAAAGCCCTCAGGGACGTTGTTTTGTGAATCGCTGTCATGACGACAGCACGGAGTGTTTTTTATGAATGGACCAGCTGACGCTCATAATTCATATTAAAGGTATCGACTCATTGTTTTCATTTCATAACTCCTGACACAAATTAAGACATAACTGTCACTATAAGTTTCTCAGAATACAATAGTGGTCAAATACTGAATCTTGAGGCTTATATCTTTTTAATGATGTATAGTTTGTCAAGGTATAACATTAAATCTGATAGTATATTTGAACTAAATAAAAAAAAAAACGCTTCAGTGCGCCGACGCTCTGGAGACGGTTAAGAGGTTAAGAAATCATTTTCATTTCAAATACTTATATCACTGACAACAGTAGTCCGGCCAGGATATTGTCATTTAAAAAGTGCAGTTGCAGCCCTCAACTGATGTTGATGTTGTCATGTTGTGTTTTGGTCTGATGCTCCGCCCTCCTCCTATCTACCAATCACTGAGTCAGTAGTGTTGCGGCATCCGGGTTGCCAGCTCTGCTCTAGTTACCACTTCTTGTAGCAGCATACGTTCCTGTTGGATCCTGCAGCCTATCTGGCAACCTCGAGTCAGGGGAGAGGGGGAGGGGATACAGCGCTCTACAGTCATTTGAAAGTGATTACAGTACCAGTTTTGTCCACAATCTTACATACAGCTCCTTTAACCTTTGTGATGCTGTACCTAAAATATTCAATGTTAAATACTACTCTAAATTCCTGTAGTGTTCATTCAGTATAATTGTCTTGATGAGGATTTGGTCCGTAACTGTGAACGTTACCTGGCCATCTGTGAGCGGCTGCTTGGGCCTGTAGTTAAAGCTCGTCTGTGATCTTGTCCCAGAACCTCCATGGCAATCAGGTTCTGTCCATTATTGTCAGTCTTTATGCTGCTGATCAGTTTATGAAGCTCAGGGTTTTTATTTTTAAACTCGCTCACTGAGTTTGGGTTTTCTATGAACGTCAGAGCTAGTCTGATGGAGTCCTTGGGTGGAATATGGCTCGTGTTGAGTGTCCCAGTGTTGTTCTTACTGGACCTTCGGGCACTTTGAACACTGTCCAGAGAGAATGAGAATTACTGACAATTTGATTGAATGAAACTAGCATGAAATCTGCATACCGTATTTTCCGGACTGTAAGTCGAACTTTTTTTCATAGTTTGGCTGGTCCTGTAACTTATAGTCAGGTGTGACTTATATATCAAAATTAATTCATACTGACTGACATAAACCAAGAGAAAACATTACCGTCTACAGCCGCGAGAGGGCGCTCTATGCAGCTCCTGTAGCCTACTCCTGAAAAAATTTACTGAAAACAACTGAAAACTGAAGAACTGTTAACTGAAACATTAACTTCAGAAACCACTGAGAAAGACTGAACACAAACAAAATGCCCCAAAAAAGAAAATCCTATTTTGCAGATTACAAACTGCAGGTAGATAAATATGGAGCCGAAAACGGTAATCAAGCAGCAGAAAGAAAGTTTGTAGTGAGTGAGAAACTTGTGAGGGACTGGCGAAAAGCAGGGGTTACTCTAAAGGGGGTCGCACATCGGATGAGAAGCGCAGAGCCATATCTTTCAAATTCAAACACATTATTCTCTATGACTGTACACACACCAGTGGCGCCACTCGGCGTCTGTCCGCGGCACCCAGCAACGGCTCAGGACCTTGTTCAAAACCCTGCCGCGCCACAGAGTGCCATTTACATTTATTACATTTACATTTATTTGTCTCAAATCGTCGTTAACGTATATACTGACTTCACCCTGTGCTGCAATTTACATTTAGTTTTACATTCATTTACAGAAATCAGCTGCTTGAATTAAAATTGCAGATGTTATCGGATTTTCAGGAGAGATTCTCAATTCATTTAGTTAACAGATGCTCTGAGGTAAAGTGTGTTCAGACTGCAGACTTAACCACGATTGTATTTAATTGTACAGTACAATCATAACATACTACAGACATTATCTTAATTCCATAATGTCCTTAAACATAACAATATTGCTGGCCATAAACGGAGAAAGTGCGCGTCCGGTGTGCGATACCTCGAGTTGTTCTAGAGACGCAGCGCTGCGTTTCTCGTCCAGTGTGCGACCCCCTTAACTGTAATAAAGAAAACAAATAAAGCTAAGTCTGAAAGCAAGATGGCCAGAGCTGGAGGAACAAGTCCACAGATGGGTGCTTGAACAACAAAAAAATAATTGCGACTTATAGTCCAGTGTGACTTATATATGTTTTTTTCCTCTTCATGACGCATTTTTTGACTGGAGCGATTTATAGTCCGGAAAATACGGTATTTAAACTAGTAAGCTGATTTAGAGCTCATGTGAGTATTTGATCTTCCTCTAGATTCTGTTGCTGTGTGGAATCAAATAAATGGAAAATTACACTCCTGATTATGTATACTATTTTTCAATACCTAAATTATGTATATATATATATATATATATTTGGTGTATCAGGTGAATCTTCTCTTTTTCCTTTGTGGATCTCCAGACACAGTCTTATTGTTGTGAATAAATAACAGAAAACACCTTCAGCAATCAGAAACTTTACCTGTTATATTCACCAACAAATCCAAGATGGTACATTTTGATGAGGATACGTTCGTCACTTCTGATGAATTTAACACTCTGTAAGTATTTCTGCAGAGCAACGTCTGTCTCCTTTATAATTCCTCCAGTTATGTTGTATATCCTGGGGTTTTTGTGACTGAAGTCGTATCCTCTCTGGAGAATAAGCAGGGGTTTGTACGATTCAAGGTTTGTCTGGATCTAATGAGAAAAAAATTAAGATTGTGAGATTAAACAATCCTGATCATCTGTACAATGATTGGTCAAGAATGGGATTTTCATTAATCTTTCTTCTGTACCACTTATCCTACACAGTGTTGTGGGAAGCCTGAAGCCTATCCCAGGACACTCGGGGCTCAAGGCATGGGACACCGTGGACAAGGTGCAAACCCACCGCAGGGCACGATCACATAAACACGTTCCCTTATCAGTCGGTCACTCTCGACATATATCATGACCGACTGATAGAAATCCCTACCAAAGAGCCACAGCTGCTGCACCCCATCCAGCGCCCTGTGCAAGCCTCTACCCCTTCTTGCCTGGAAGGACGATAGGAGTCTGTCACTGTTGTTCCGTGATAACCCATACAGTGAGACATTGAATAACACTGGGAAGCGTGCCCTTTCTGTTTAGGAAGGATAACGCTGCGGATGCCACTTTCTTCAAGGAGTTATGTGGGAAAAAAAACATATGGACTACCCCGAAGGCTGTACAACATACAAATTACTGGGTGACTTTAGCCCAAGGGAAAGACACGGGCTTCCGTAAGGAGCAGTCGTGGAGAATATACACATATGGGATCCCCGTAGGGTCACACATATGGGACCCAGCCCAGATCCGGTTCTCAAGGATTCAGCGGATAAAGGGCTGACACCTGACGCTCCACCATGTCCGGGCCGAGGGTGTTGGAGGACTCAACAGGTTTTTCACTCTGGAGTAATAAAGGTGCACAGTAGGGTGCAGCAAGCAGACAGAGCCGGATGTGTAGGAGCCAAATGTGTGTTTATCTTTTATTTGGGCCACTAGATGGTGCTGTAGGCTCATATATATATATATATATGTGAGGGGTCAACAGGTAGTTGGGAGGTGTTGACCCCGGAAGGGCAAACAAGTTTTTGACCGCTATGGTGGAGTTTGATAAACGCTGTTGTCGTGTTAAGTTCTGGGAATCTTGTTGTGGCCAAACAAAGAATACAAGGCCTTAGAAAGCGATTTAAATTCAACCAGCACTTTCACCAGGAGTACTTAGAGTACATGAACAATGTCAACTCATGCTGCTATGCAGAGCGGGTACCTGAACATCTGTTACATTGTAACAATGGAAGAATTTGGTATATCCCTCACCATGGAGTCCATCACCCTAGAAAAGGATCACTACGCGTTGTGTTTGATTGTGCTGCAACATTTAAGGGAGTGTCTCTGAACAGTGAGCTATTGCCAGGGCCCAATCTCACGAGCACACTTCTGGGCGTCCTCATGAGGTTCAGACAGGAACCAATAGCCATCATGGGAGATATTAGAGCCATGTTTTATCAGGTGCGTGTGCCTGAAGAGGACAGAGACTTCCTCCGCTTTCTCTGGTGGCCAGAAGGAGACACTACACAAGAACCAGTGCCTTACAGGATGATGGTGCATTTGTTTGGAGCAGTTTCATCTCCAAGCTGTGCGGCCTATGCCTTAAAGAGAACTGCCAAAGACAATCAGAATGAATTTCCAGCAGAGGTCACAGAAACTGTTAGACACAACTTTTATGTTGATGATTGCCTAAAGAGTTCAGCTACAGACAAGGAAGCAATCAAGATGATAAATGATCTTGTTGCGCTGTGTGAAAGGGGAGGCTTCACGTTGGAAAAATGGATAAGCAACAGTCGCGTTGTTCTGCAAGCCATCTCAGAAGAGCAAAGAGCTAAGGATTTAAAGATGTTAGATCTGGATATTGATAAGCTTCCAATGGAAAGAGCTCTGGGTCTCCAGTGGTGTGTGGAAAGTGATGCTTTCAAGTTTAAGATGGATCTGAAACATCAGGCCCTGACCAGGCGTGGAATGCTGTCTGTCAACAGTTCTGTTTTTGACCCATTGGGGTTCCTGGCGCCAGTGACATTGCAGGCAAAAATGATGCAGCAGGAACTGTGTAAAAGAGGCTGCAGCTGGGATGATGCATCACCTCAGGACATTTTACACCAATGGAAAAGGTGGCTGGAGGGGCTGACCCCGCTGGCTGCATTAAGTGTAGACCGGTGCATAAAACCTGTCGGATTTGGAGCCATAAAGCGTGCACAATTACAAAAAATTTCAGACACCAGTGAAGCAGGCTATGGGACTGCTACGTACATTCGTATGACAAACCATGAAAACATCATCCATGTTGCCTTTCTCCTTGGCAAGGCCAGAGTAACACCACTGAAGACCATAACCATTCCACGGCTTGAGCTGTCTGCAGCCGTTCTAGCTGTAAAAATCGATGCTATGGTCAAGGCAGAGCTGAACATACTGTGACACTGCCACAGCCCTGCACGATGCTCACTTAAGTTAAATATACTGTAAACTATATATATATGTTTATGTGTCGTGCCAAAATGTTTGTTTATTTTTTCTAATCTGCCTGTATGTTGATTTTGAGCATTTGCCTATGCTTTTTTGTTGGAGGGGGAATAAGGGGAACTTTTATTGGACTCTTAGGACTCTTATTATGATGAGCCTAGGGTAAAGGGAGGGGCGGCCATTTTGAAAGGTGTGTTTTTGATGAGGTGGCAGGTTTATTGTTTTGGGGAACCGAGAGGGGCCATAAAAAAAAGATCTCTGGGAAGAGAGACATGGTGTGTTAGACGTTGGAGCTGTTTCTTATGCGCACGCTCTGGTCTGGGATATACGTGGTGGACTATACTTTGGGGACTTTTTTCCAACTGGAGGATAACCTGTTTTTTGTGGGGCCTTGAACCAGTGGATTTATACTTTTTTCTCTTTTTGGGGACATGGTTTTTTCATCCGGACTTTAAATTGCCTACCTACCCCCAAAGCAGAAAAGGACTGAGACAGGACTGTTGAGTATTGTCTTTGCTATTTATATTTTGCTTCCACGGACTTACTACTCTTGAACTTTCTCTTTATGGACTATTTTGTTTGAGTTTTATACAAAGATTCAACAGCTTTATGTTATGTTTGTGTGTGCCCTTCAAGCGTCTAAGTTGCCTTTAATTTTTCAATACTATGTTTTTTGGGAACTTTGCTGTCTTTGCAATCATGCTGTTTTTGTGAAGTATGGTGGTGCTGTATGGTGGCTGTATGGTGGTGGTGATGGCGCAGTGGATAAGACACATGCCTTTGGTGTGAGAGACCCGGGTTCGAATCCACTGTGAGACACCAATGTGTCCCTGAGCAAGACACTTAACCCCTAGTTGCTCCAGAGGCGTGCGACCTCTGACATATATAGCAATTGTAAGTCGCTTTGGATAAAAGCGTCAGCTAAAATGTAAAAATGTAAATGTAAGAAATATTGTGAAGTGGTTTTGACAAAGAGTAAAAGGAAACAATAGTCATCTCCCCTTGTTGTAATGATTCAACCATTTTTTGAAGAGTTGAAGTTGTTATAATACGACTGGAAAATTCTGTGTTCTGGACTGATAGCACATCTGTGTTGAAGTACATTAATAATGAGGACAGGCGCTTTCACACATTTGTGCCTAACAGAGTTGCAACCATCAGAGAGTTGTCTGAGCCCACTCAATGGAAACACATCAGCACAAAGGAAAACCCAGCTGATTATGTGTCTATAGGACTGAAGGTATCAGACTTCCTGAAAACCAGTGCGTGGTTGGAAGGACCAGCATTTTTGCGGAAAGAAGAGGAAAAGTGGCCTGAAAATGTGTTGGATGTGGCTTTGGATGTTGGAGACAAGGAGGTTAGGAAGGAGGCTGCAGCTTATGCAATCAGCATTAACACTCCTACTCCCACAGACCAGCTTATTGCACACTTTTCAGACTGGAGAAGACTTAAAAGGGCAGTGGCCTGGTACTTGAGGTTGAAGAGTGTGTTGAAAGAGAAGTGTAAATGTAGAAAACAGTTGGACATTCTAGTGAGAAAAAATCCAGTTGTGCACAAAATGAACACAAGAGGGCGCCAGAGGACCACTAATGACCCAAAGAGCAGCAGTCTGCCCATGGCAGAGTTACAGAGTGCAGAGTTCTTCATCATTTTGTACTGCCAGCAACAAAGGTTCAAGTTTGAGATTGAAGCTCTATCGCAGAACACCAGAGTGAGCCGTCAGAGTTCCATCTATGTGTTGGATCCTGTTTTGGAGGATGGGCGTTTGAGAGTTGGAGGCAGACTTCACAGAAGTGCAATGCCAGAGGAATCTAAACATCTAATAATCCTGGCCAAAGAACAACACATCTCTGAATTAATCCTCAAATGCTTTCATCAAACTCTCGGACATTCCGGATGAGCTCACACTCTGTCGGCTGTAAGAAGAAAGTTTTGGATTACAAAGGGAAATTCTGCTGTGAGAAGGATTATTGGACAGGGCAGTATCTGCAGGCGATACAATGGACGTCTCTTAATGCAAAAAATGACTGACTTACCTGCTGCAAGGATTCTCCCAGACCATCCCCCCTTTACCAACACAGGGGTTGATTACTTTGGACCAATTGAGATTAAAAGAGGAAGAACATGCTGCAGAAGATATGGTGTTATATTTACCTGACTGGCGAGTCGAGCCATTCATTTGGAGGTAGCAGCTACTCTTGACACAGATTCCTGCATAAATGCGTTAAGACGATTCATCAGCCGAAGAGGACAAGTGAAACATCTGTGGTCTGACAATGGAACAAACTTTGTTGGAGCTGAGAGAGAACTGAAAGAAGCTCTTGTCAAACTGGACCAGGACACAATAAATTCGTTCTTGGCACAGGTAGAAATTAATTGGACTTTTAACACACATGCTGCCTCCCATTTTGGTTGTGTTTGGGAGAGAATGATCCGTCTGGTGAGAAGGGTGCTGAACTCAGTGCTGCGTCAACAAACCCTGGATGATGATGGGTTAAATACAGTGTTGTGTGAAGCTGAAGCCATTTTGAATGATCGCCCTATTACAAAACTCTCAGACGATCCAAATGACTTGGAGCCTTTAACACCAAACCATCTGCTCCTGCTTAGAGGAAAGCCATCATTTCCTCCTGGGATTTTTAAGCCAGAGGATCAGTATGGAAGGAAGCGATGGAAACAGATTCAATACCTGGCTGACCTTTTCTGGAAGAGATGGGTTCGAGAATATTTACCCTTGCTTCAAGAAAGACAGAAATGGAACGAGAAGAGGAAAAATCTTGCTGTTGGAGATGTTGTGGCCATTATGGATCCATCTGCCCCTCGAGGATCTTGGCCTCTTGGAAAAGTTTTGGAAGTTTTTCCAGATAGTCACGACCTAAATCCAATATTATTGAGAGACCAATTTCTAAGCTTTGCATGGTATATGGAGTCTAATTACTGTGTATAAGCCACATATGAGAAACTCATTTGGTCTCCTTTATGGTTATTGTTTGAGGAAAAATTGTCATGTTTGTTTATCATGCCAATTAGGGGCCGGTGTGTAGGAGCCAAATGTGTGTTTATCTTTTATTTGGGCCACTAGATGGTGCTGTAGGCTCATATATATATGTGAGGGGTCAACAGGTAGTTGGGAGGTGTTGACCCCGGAAGGGCAAACAAGTTTTTTGACCTCTACGGCGGAGTTTGATAAACGCTGTTGTCGTGTTAAGTTCTGGGAATCTTTGTGCTTGTGGACCTTGTGTGCTGTGCATCTGTGTGGAGGACAATAAAAATGGTAATATTGCAACGAAGACGATGCCTCTGGATCTAATTTACATGTAACAACCGGTTCAACATTAGCTGCCTGGCGTGTCATCACAACTAGCTACGGGACAACAACTCTAGCACAGTATTAGACTGGCTACTATACCGGACCTCTCGGTGCTTCTACCCGTTTAGGGTAAGAACACGGGAGGAGACCGGCTCTACACGTAGGCTATAATATCTAGCGAGTGTGTTAGGTGTCGACCCAGCCCGCAGCTCTACAGATATCTGTTAGCGAGGAGCCACGTGCCAGCGCCCAGAAGGATGCAACGCCTCTCGTGGAGTGAGCATGCAACCTGAGCGGGCAGGGCATGCCTTGTGCTTGGTAAGCCAAGGCGATGGCATTCACTATCCAGTGGGCCATCCTCTGCTTGGAGACAGCCTTTCCCTTCTGCTGGCCTCCGTAACAGACGAAGAGCTAGTCTGAGGTCCTGAGACAGAGCAAAGTCAGGGCTGGGTTTGCCTCCTCCGGGGGCAGCGCTTGCAGGTTCACTACCTGGTCCCTGAAGGGAGTGGTAGGAACCTTGGGCACATAGCCAGGCTGCACACGTAGTCTTAGTACTACGTGGTTGTCACCTGGCCCGAACTCTAGGCACGATTCGTCGACCAAAAATGCCTGCAGGTCCCCTACCCTCTTGACAGAGGCCAGTGCAACCAGCAGCAAAGTCTTCATGTTAAGAAGCTCGGTGAAGGGTTCCACTCAAGCCCAATCCTGTTGGCGGCCCGGGAAAGCTTGGCCATCATCTCTGGGTCCGACTCGGGTACCGCTGGCACTCCGAGCAGTCGTCCACGGAGATGTCTGACCCACCCTCCGATGCAGCGATCGACATCTGGTCATCGCGGGGAGCACCAAAGGAAACGACTGGTACACACCTCGAGGATGGTCCAGCACGTTCGGTTGTTAACTGCGGAGCGTGTTGGCTGCGGAGCGTGAGAGAGATGAGGGTTCCTAGGGGGTTGGTTCCCCGAAGGAAGTGAGCGTGGGCTCACCGTGATCCTCAGGTCTCCCGTGTTACTGCCTGAAGCAACCCTCTGGGGAGGGTTAGAACGAGGCAGAGGCACGGGGACTCCGCCCCTTTGCAGGAACGAGAGTCTCGACCTTAGCTTCAAGATGGTCATATACTACTGTTGAATCAGATCAAATGCATTAATATTATGAACAGCAGCTACGCTAATTATTTCCCATCTGCTTTTCTGCTGTTATCTCAGGACGCTAGTCCCGAGGTAAATAGCGTTCGTCAGCTCCAGTTTGTATCCAGCCTCTCACGGAGACTTCAGATGCCCCAACACCTGCGATGAGACGACTCGACGCCTGTGAAGAGACGACTCAACGCCAGCGATATGTTATGCCCTAAATTAATACATGATGATTAACTAACTATATTCTTCTATGTACATTTCTGAAATGCACTTTCTGTAAAGCTGCTTTGAAACAATATGTATTGTGAAAAGCGCTATTCAAATAAATTTGAATTGAATTGAATTGAATTCCCAAAATGGGTACATGCCTCATCCACGAACGCTGCCTCAGCGAATCCGAGGCCCAGACACACGAGGCAGCGATCGTGACCATCCCATGACCCCAGGTAACGACCACATCCAGAAACAAGTTGCTGTGCAGCTGATGCAAATGATTGCACGCCAATGTGCATTGGTTTGTTTAGTTTCAATCCAAGTAGATTGGCCTCTCTAGCGAGATTCCTATCAGTCGGTCACAACGTACGTCGAGAGTGATCGACCAATAAGGGAACTCTGCTTCATCACTCCACCCGGTGTGTGTTTTATTTCTTACAAAGGAATAATGTTTCATATTTCATCAGGAGGGTGACATGAGCTGGCTAATAACCCACATTTTGTGCTTTTGTATTTTCATAAAAGATAACCTGCTGATAAACTTCTGAGTAGTGATGATTTTTTGTGAATTTCCCTCTGGGATGAATAAAGTGATCTATCAGTTGGTAGTTCGGTCTGTCTGACAATCAGCTAGTGATTTCAGTACATCAGTAAATCTGAGCATATCTTTAACTAAAATCTGGCTTTTGCACTCAGGATGTGCACACATTATCCCATGAAGAAATCGTAGACAAATTAAGTGTACTCACCTCATTTTGCACTTTCTTGCGTAGCATCAATGCTTCCTCCATCTTACTGCCAGTTGCTTGTGCTACGGCATGATAAAGAGCATTCTGATGATCCGAGTTAACACTAATTATCTTGTCATCATCCTGCACAATGTCAAAATGCCCGCTGTACAGCTGTGCATCAGCTCTGTTTTAAAAATTAAAAGTAACCACATTCAGTACACAAAGTTCATAAACATTAACTGAAATGTATTTCTATATGTGAGCAGTATAATGCTCAAGTAATTAGTCTTACTGTGATGTATGTGGGGCTTTTTCAGATTTGGTTAATCTCAGTTTTATATCGCCTGCTGATTTGCTGGTTCCTGGGTAAAGTTCCTCAGTGAGCTGTTTGCCATTTTCATCAATGACAGTGAGTTGAATTCCTTTTCCATCGAGCAGGTTACTTTTTGTGAGCACGTACACTTCAAAAGCTTTAACAGGCTGATCAGTTTTGCACATATCTTCTGTATACTGCATTAGTTTTGTTTTGTCCTCATCTGACAGTTGTTCCACTTCCTTGTGGCTCGCAGATTTCTTGTTGTGTTTTCCTCTCTGGTCATCAAAGAAACGCTGAGTCTTATGTCTGTGCATGACCTTGTCTACCGCCTGTCCTGCAGCACTGTTCAACTGTCTCTTAAATGTGCCGGTCATTAAAGAAGTCATGTGTTCAGAACATGAACTGATGAATTGCTCTGAAACTTTCTGTGCGATAATCTGTAGAAGTTCTCCTTTAAGGCGTTGTACATCGTGTAAACTGTGTCGTCCATCTTGGTCATACTTTGTCATTTCTTTCTCAAGCTCACTGATGCTCTCCAGTAATTCAGGAACAAATTTTTGTTGTATTATTTCCTTTGTTGGTACAGCACCCAATATTTGACAGTAAGTTGTTGAGTACTCATCTACTTTCAGAGCCAGATTTGCCATTTCAAGCACACCTGACAGTTTTGCCTTATTCATAAGCTCTGTTGCTGCTTCACACACCTCAGAGAGTTTGCTGATTACGTCTCGTGCTGTGGTACAGTCCAGTATGTGGTGAGGAATTATCTTTTCACAGAACATATCAACTGATTTTTTTATTTGCTTCTCATAATTCTGGTCAATCTTGAAATTCTCTTTTTTCAATGCAGCTTTCGGAATGCCTGAGCTGATGAAATCGACAAGAGCATGATCCAGTTCACTGCTCTGCTTCACTGATAAAGTAATAGCATTCTCAAAACTGCTTTGTAAAATCTTCTTAAAGACTTCCTGAAGTGCTGAATCGATTGCGTAGTTCATGGCAGTGAGCACAGTATTTTTCTCCATCTCCTGAACTGCATACTTAGTCGCAAGTTTGAAGTTCTGTCTGAGCACTGTAGAAGATGTCATGTTTTTCATTCCAGACTTAAAAGATTCTTTACCAAGGGACGATAAATCAGACTTATCACTTCCTTTGAAAGAAGTAAACACTGCATTTCCTGAATTAATGAATTCAGATGCAATAGAGGAGAAAGACTTTGTACCATTGAGGAGACTTTTTGTTGCTTCAAACACTGCAGGAACTGCTTTCTTGATAACGCTAAAGCCAGCCGTTAGCAAAGCAAGCCCAATGCTCATACTCTTAGATATTGCCCATGACACCCAATCAAATGTGCCCTTTATCATCCCCTTTATTCCATTGACCATGTCAGACACCCCTTCTGAAATCAGGCCCATTCCAAACTTACTGGCTGTTCCAAATGTCAGAGCACAAAGAAGAATCCCAGCGAGAACCTGCAACACCCCGAGGATGAAACAAATCAAAGCATCAATGCAGAACTTGGGCTTCTTTTTCACCTCAAAAACAACACCGAGGCCATAGTCGTATAGCGATCTCAGCTCAGTAGTGATGATGACGTTTTTTTCTTCAGACAGAGTGTAGACTGAACGGTCTTCTGTAATGGCGTCACTGTTGTTTTTCTCCAGCTCTTTAAGTTTATCCAATGCATTATCAATGTACGTCTTCCAAGACTTAAAGATGTTCATTCTGGCCTCCATTTGACTCTGAAAGTTGTTATTGTCTGAACTCTGATATTTGTTACCAGTGACTGATAAGTTACATGAGACCATTGTGTTTGAAACTTCTGAGACATAAACATCAATGGATTTCTTTGCGTCTTCCAGCAGTTTCATAGCGTCTGCTTTATAGTTACCCTTACCGAGGTTGATGGTGATGTACGCCTGGTTATAGAGTGCCACAGCCTTGTAATGTGGGTCAGAGTTACCAACTTTTTGCCAATAGGATTCAGCTCCAAATGCATTGTTGGATTTGTCGCGGCAGTGTAGATCAGTTCTTACAATTGCCTGTTTGATGTGATCATAGAAATTATCACATTCTCCTCGCAGCAGCTTTCCACTTGTTTCCTTTATTGTCCTGATAAGGTCTGCTTCAAGTTGTCTGAAGTCATCATGCCTATTAATGTGATCTTCGTGAAGGGTCAACCACAAGGCCCAAGATTCTTTCAAAGCGTTGATGGCTGGCTGATAATCAAACTTAGGCTGATGATGTTTAAAGCAGTCAGGAATATTTTGGAGCTGCATTCGCATGGGGTCCAGTTTTTCTTGCTGTGTGTAATGAACATCAAAGTCCTTTAGCAATGTACAAAATGTGGAAAACAGATTTTCCTTTAGGTTTATTTCAACCAGCTCATCACTTTCCATGTCGTGGATTCGTTTAATTTCATAATCCTCTCTTAGCTGGCGCATGATTTCCACAGACTGACCTTGGTAAGCTGGTGCGAGATTATCACAGTTCACAACCATCTGGACCATCCCAGGATTGCCTTTTCGAGATGTACGACCAAATATTTGTTTCTCCACTCTTCGGTTGGGTGGAAAGTGAGTAAGAAGTACGAAAAGACCACCACACTTATTCACACTTTCATCAACCTTGATGTCTGTACCCCGTCCTCCGAGATTTGTAGCAATGATGATTCTGCCTGCACAGAATTTCTCTTTTTCAATGTTGTGCTTCTCGCTGATTGTGTACAGAGTAATCTGTTCTGCCTTAAATCTGTCACCATCTTGTATTTTCTCATGTAGATCATCTGCTGTTCTAACATCTTCACAAATTACCAAGACAACTTGCCCTCTGTCTGCTACTTTCCATGAAGTTTCACAAATAGTCTGAATCCATTGGTGATTCCCACCTTTCACCTGGATGACTGGAAGCTCCACCACCCTTTTATGGCGATGTGCAGGTACAGTGTAGCTCTGTGCTTTATAATGTCTCGCCAGAAAGTCCTGATCTGCCTTACCTCCTAAAGTACCAGAAACCCCAAATATACCACTCCCACTGAGATACCTTTGAAAATAATGGAAATTTGACATGTAATTTGTCACATTGGATATTGGTGAAATTGCAAGTTGGTGCTTCAACTCCAAAAATTGTTGCAGACCATTACCCCACTTCTTGTTTTTCTCCAGCACACCGCTTGCTTTGAAGTCCACTGGAATTATTGCATTATACTCGTCTCTGTCATGACTGTCAGCAACTCTTTCACCGGCCGGTGAGGTGTCGATCATGTATTCCCGGCCACGTGACATCTCAACAGCCTTTAGTGCATTCTCAACAAAAACTGGTAACTGATTCTCAACATAGCTTTTCAAGAAAACAGGGATGACAATGAAGTTGTTGAGTTTGTTGGCTGTTTGAGGGTTATCTGAGTACATGATATATGACTTTATTGTGCTTACAGTTGCATCAATGAGGGATTTCTCAGACATGATTTCACATGCCAGTCCTCCTTCCAGCAGAAGCATTTCAACATTAAGGTCACCTCGTTTTTCCCGAGCTTCAAAACATTTTGCTTTCTTGTTCTCTAACGAATAGCACTTAAACACTGCACTGTTCCCCAAGACCTCCTCAAATATACTCAGTAGATCATACTGTTGTGAAACTCCAAGTTTCTTCATGACTTCAGGTAATGCTTTAGACATTCCGTCCTCTTTCATATTATCTTGATATATCATTTCAATATCCTCCTGGGTGTAGAATCCCAAATTTACACCGGGTAGCAAGATCTCTTTTGCTGAAAAGCTGTCTGTTTCCAGTCCCATAACGGCTGCTGTTACGGCTTTGTGAACATACTGTATCCGGGTCGCCCATTTTATCTCCCCCGTTTCAAGCATTTCAATTGGTTTACAAGGAGATATTATGGTCCATATGTTGGAAAGCACTTGCTCCACGTGCCTAAATCCAGTAGATTCATGGGACAAGAATGTTACTTGAACTCCATTGTCCAAGGTCATGTAGTCCACTTCATCCACTATTACAAGCTCAAATTGTCTTGTACCGCGAGTAGTCCTCTTCTCAAATTCCTGTTTAAGTGTGTCAGCTGCAAAGACTCCCACTGTGCCATATACTATTTGTTGCCTGTAAGCATCTTTAAGATGTTCCTCTTGTTCCTCTGGTGAATAGTCACTTGAGTAACATGGAGGTACTACAGACGAGGTGACACCAAACATTTCAAAAAACTTTTTCCACTCTTCTTGATCTCGTCTGGCTAGAACTGGAGAGCTTGTCACAATGTCCACTTTTGTTCCACGGATTGCCAGAATTGTTGCAAACATGGCTAAGATACAGGACTTTCCCTCACCTGTGCCAATCTCTAGAAGACATCCTTTATCTTCTGTCAGCTGTGCCAGTAGGAGCAAAAGCAATGATGCTAGTTGTGTACATCTTGGAAAATAGCCTTGAATCTTCATGTTGTCTTTTGTGGTGATTGTTGAGCAGTCTTGCACTGCTATTGACATTCCAATTAATACGTCTTTCAGAATTTTGATATCTGGGTTTGTAAGATTAAGAGATATTATCTTCTTTATCAAATCAGCAACTTGTTCTTCAGTAAGGTCCACCAATTTATATTTTGGGAATTCCGACTCTACGTATCTAAGCACATCCTTCAACAGCAACAAGACTTTCTCTGGACAGTTTGCTTCACGAAGTTCCTTCACAATTGTATCAGCATCTTTTTCCTTGTCGTTTTTTATTTGTTCTTCAAGAAACATTAGAGGGTTTTCATTCGTAAGAGCAGAGAGAACGTGGATGCAGTCCAGGTGGTAGGTTTGTGCTGTGTGGAGAACTGAATCGAGTTGATCACATTTGATACCTGGACTTTTGCAAATGAAAAGCATTATTTCTGTTGGGGTCCAGATTCTGTTGAACAACATTTGACCCAAAATGCCCCTACTTTGTGGTGAAAGCTCTGAGATTATGTCAAGTACATTTAATAAAATGTGTTCTGCCAAAGTTGCATTTGTGGCATGAAGCTGCTCCACCAAACCCAAGAGAAAGTCATACTTCTTCTCCCAGCCAAGTGGCTGATATTCATCATCTTTAGCGTCTTCAGTGCTACTGTGCAGAATGAACTGTAGAGATGCCTCAAGAACTGTGAGCTTCTCTGTGAGAGACAGCTCATTATATCCTATAGCATGATCAAATGTAAACTGAGACCATACTGAAAGGTTGTTTTCTCTACAATATTGAACTGCAAGTTCATTCTGGAGTGTCTTAATCCTGTCCCAAATCTGGTCATGCTTTATCTCTTCATCTTCTGTGATCTGGTACTTTAACAAAATGTCTTTGAATTTTTCTTCAACATCGGTAACCTACATAAATATGCAAAACAAACATGGGTCTCAGTAAAAAGTGATATTTTATCACATGCTGTATACAGTTATGTTGCTCAATCCAAGTAAGTCATACCTCGTCCCTCTCAATTGCAGCAGCGTCATCTTCTATTTGCTGATGGAGAACTTGTGTGCGTTCATTATGTTGCTCGTGACCTCTGAAGCTCTGTTTTTCACGAAGCCGCTCAGTTGCTCGAGAAAGCTTGAGTCTGGATGATTCACTCTCTCTGTCCAGCTCCTGTTGAATCCTTTGCTCACGTTCCAACCGTTCCAGACGTCTTCTCTCCTCCTCTTGCTGTCTTCGTTTTTCATCTTCTTCTATTTTTCCTGTTTAAAGATATCATAAAATACCACAGGATTAGAAACTACGGAGCCCCTAAAGGGACGTGGTGGTGGAAAGAATTTGGGATGGGAGAAGTTCCCTCGAGAAACTTTGCGTTCCCGTTTAATGGAGCATTTCGTGTTTGAACTTGTCTCAAATATAAAGAAATATGGTCAGTTCTTAAAGGATTAGTTCACTTTTAAAAAACTTTTGCTGATAATTTACTCACCCCCATGTCATCCAAGATGTCCATGTCTTTCTTTCTTCAGTCGAAAAGAAATTACGTTTTTTGATGAAAACATTCCAGGATTTTTCTCCATATAATGCACTTCAATAGAACCCAAACGGTTCAAGGTCCAAATGACAGTTTCAGTGCAGCTTAAAGGGCTTTAAACGATACCAGACGATGAACAAGGGTCTTATCTAGTGAAACGATCGGTCATTTAAAAAATAAATAAAAAAGTTGAAGTTTTATAAGCACAAATGCTCGCCTTGCTCTGTTCTGTGAGTAAATTATCAGCAAAAATTTTTTTTAAAGTGAACTAATCCTTTAACTCAAGGAGTTCAGTGAAGTTGGCAATATATTCACAGATTTAAACTTCCCGGATCAATATTCGAGAGCTAAACATTGTTAAAACACAAATTACACTTATTTACAATTACAGTAACATAGACAACGAGCTACAACCCAATTTCCTCAAAATGAGCTTTATAATGTAAATTTGTCTCTAAGCAGGCGGCTGAAAGACAAGTCCGAATAAGAATTGGGTTTTGCACGTCTGCAAAGTGCAAAACCCAAAACCCTTTTGCACATTTTATATAATGATAATCAATAGCTTAACTATGACACACTACTGTCACCACATTTACTTCACACATCACTGCTGCCTACTTAGTTTAACCCTCTGGGGACCAGAAACGCGCCGGCGCGTTTTGCCGTTTTTTTTTCACATAGCAAAAAAATAGACTTAAAATACTCTGTTGATTTTGATCGTACATATAAGTGTTATACATCAATCGATCCTGTTAATTGTCTATTATTTTTCTGTATACTCACAATAAAAACAAAGTTTTGTGCTTTTTGTCAAATAAAGAAAAATAAACATGATGCGAGTTTTGCCTTCTCTCTGTCAGTGCAGTCCATTCTGAAACACGTCCGAAAAATTAACTCTAACTCTGCAAATACTTGTCATACAGGCACGAGAGATGTTTCTTTATGAAGCTTGAATTCTCTTCTTTTCAATGAAGTAATTTATATAAAAAACAAATATTCTCAGTTTATGTAATCTGTATGAAAAGAGAGTGCTGTCAGATATTTTTTCCCCAGCTCATTACACTTCATTACGCGTTAATCTGACACGCCCACGGAGGACGCGCGCTATTCAAACGCAAATGTTGAGGCAAGCCATGACAATGCCCACATCAGCCGTTCCACCGCGGCGGTAAAATGTGTGGTGTATTTGCTGCCTTTTACCGCTAAGAGGCGCTACAATCGTAGACTCTGAAAAGTGTTCGTTTATTCCGGTTTATTCTCTCTAATGCGTAATCTGCTGCCGCACCGCACTGATTCAGAGCGATTAAAAGCTGGTAGCAGATGAATTCAACAAGTGAAACGTAGTTAAAATAATTCATAATCACAATACTGAAATTAGGCAACTGAAATGTAATTGAATAAATAATGAAAACATTTCAACATAAAACATTGCAATAAAAACATTTAGGCTACATAAATGAGGCTTTACAACTTTATCAGCGTACAGACGATAGCTCAGTGGTTAACGCAACATCACGAGCTTCGAGGAGCTTCAATCGACCCGAGATCGAATCTCAATGTAGCATAGGCCTCTATGTTGTTAACCGATGTTGTCCTACAGCGTTTATATTTTACCTTCTTGATGCTTAAATAGCTAACTGTTTATAACTGTTTACTTATTTAAAGTCAAGAGTTTTGTTTAATTATTATTACAACATAAATTTGCTACATTCCTGGAACCGCAGCGCTGCACAAAGGACATAAACTGATGAAGGAAGATTGTCAGCCGATTGCATCAGAAAATGAAAATGAAGAAGCACGTCTTTAGTCTGCTAAATTATTGTGTAATGTAAAAGAACACTAAAATTACTTAAGTTTGAAACCAAGTTCGAACATTTCAAGGTTTAAATAAAGTGTCGGGACAGTTTTTTTTAATTTAAAACAGGGTTGCATCGGGTTTGGAGTTTATTTATTTTGCGATGCAAAATAAGAGACACTAGGCTAATCTTATTCTTGCGACATTTTAAATTTGTATTGCCAAAGAAATGACAGCTATATTAAACAATTAAAACAGCAGGCCTACAAAACGAAAATTGTCCAAAGCAACATAATTAAATTAAAACATGCGTTTTTTTTTTTGCCTCTCTCGCGCTGAATCTCTTTTTAACAAGTTTATTTAGTCTCCCTCGCTCTCCATATGAAAGAGGAACATTAACACCTAGGCCTATTGTCCTGCGCGCACGATACAGCACTGAACTGTCCCTCCAACCCCCCACCGGCTATCGGAGTCTGAGGCTGATTTAACACAAAGAGACGCTGCAATTCACACTTAGACAGTGTTGATAATGAAGGAATTAAATGATTTAAGTTACATGTAGCCTAGTGATATTTCTGTCATAAAAGTTTATTACTAAATATTTCATTATTTCAGTAATTTATGAAATAAAACTGGTTTGGGCCAGCTTTTTCCAAGCAAAACTAAATATAATATGAAAAAACGCATGTTAATTTGTTGTCATGAACAAAATGTTCAACTCAATATTAAATTCTACAGGGATCTTTGGATCCTTACAACCAGGCATGCAATTTGTGAATTACGTTTTTATTTATTTTTTATTATTCAAATAAATATCGAACCACGGTGCTTCGTGGTAGGAATGCTGCTAAATTAGCTAAATTAAATAAAATGTATAGAATAATTATGAACTTAAATGAAACAATATCGCAACATTTCGACAAATACATTATTTGATCTGTTTTTACATTTTAATTCAGGGCGATTTAGCCTGCTACATTTAATTAGAGCGAGATTTTCACCCTTGTCTTGTCATTTTCTCATTGGGAAGCGCTTACATAGGCTACATGTTTGAGTAGATCCTCTGTAGGCCTACCTCTCGTTTTCATTATGGATTACATAATCAGATAACATTTATTAGCCTGAATATTTAGACATTTAAAGGCTTTAGACATAGCCGATTTCTTATAGTGACTGAGCTGAAGTGGCTTTCGGTTAATTTTTGTGACGCGCAGTTCCTGGAGACAGAGACGACAGATAAACTTTTGTCGTTAGCAAAAGTTCGAATAAAACCCGACTTTAGAAAAATGCACAGGGCCACTCGGCGTGGTCTGCCAAAACACTTAATTATAAACCTCAATATTTCATTCAAAATAATCTCAAAACGCTTTGTGAAATTTTGAAAAGCCGTGCATGCATTAAGGCCACTGGAATGAACAACTGAAACGCTGGTTTTGATTTTATTGTTTGTCGTTTAAACGTGCTTGTTGCATATCTCTATTTTATATTTGATATGGTCTATTGGTGAAGTAGCCTATAGCATTGATTACTGTGGAGGGAGGGGTGTGGGGATTCAAATAATTCAGCAGAAGCAGGGATATTTAGACCAGAAGGAAATCCCCGTCCCCCCTGGCAAATCACACTTTACTTAAAAAAGTTTTTAAAAACTCTAGGTTGTAGGGAATCAAAATAATAATAATAATAGGCCTAATAAAAAAAAAATATATATATAGGCTATATATATAAAATTACTTTTTTTACAGAACTGCTTTTGAAATTACGATTGGTACCCGATTGGTATAGATGCAAAGTCGTTCTGTTGGATACTATTGTTCCTTAGTGTAAAATGGAAATGCATGGTAATTTTATTTTATAAATATAAGCAAAAAACTGTATGGTGTAACAGAGTTTTAGAGCTAGACAAATCTCTCTGCATTAATAAATATAAAATTTACAGTACACAATGTTTGTTCGAGATTCGAACCCGTGTCATCTTGATGATCGAACCGTAAGTTCTACCGCTCGGCTATTAATTTCCTCACTGAGAAATGCCCAAACGTTTGTTTCTCACATGAGCGAGAAAACGTTTTCTCGTTAGCCTGTGAGTGTAGGCCTACTTTAGCCTACATGAATAAAAGTAGACCTTTTACAGTTTTAAAAGATGATATCTTATCTGTATGACCAACAATTACGCAGTAAGTTCTTTTAGCTGTTATGAGAAAAATAAATTCAAATGAACGCGCCGCCGCGTTTGTCAAACTCTAATTCAACATGCCAGAATAAAGCCAGATTTTAGAATAATGCATAGCCACTCGGCGTGGTGTGCCAAAATACCCTAATTATAAACTTCAATATTTCATTCAAAACCATCTCAAAACGCTTTGTGACATTTTAAAAAGCCGTGAATGTATTAAGGCCACTGGAACCAGGATCGTAACTGAAACGCGCTGCATGTCTCAATAGAGGAGCAGAAGCGCTGGTTCAGATTGTATTGTTTGTTGTTTAAACGTGCATGTTGCATATTTCAAAATATTTGTTTAAAAATAAATGTTTGTTGTAGGCTTATTTTTATATTACCATAACTTGTAGAATTTCATCCTTACTGTTAATTGACATTAGCCCCACTTACGTTTTGATAAATGTCCCTTTGCGCCACCTGGCGGTCATTTCGCGAGCGACTGGTTTATTTTTATTGTATTGGTCTACTTTAAAAAATAATACTTTATAAGATATTTATGGGAAAAGACTATTTTCTTTTCAAGATGTTTCCAACTGTAACTTTGAACCAATTCTGTAGAATGGCCCATATAGCATTTGACCAGGATTTGTTTCCAGGTATGACTAAAAATGTGCTTTTGGCTTTCATTTATATTTTGATTGTTTGTATATAATATGTGTGTGTGTGTGTGTGTGTGTGTGTGTGTGTGTGTGTATATATATATATATATGTAGGCTAT